TGTTTTACTAGTAAAGAAAAGGTACATTGAACGTGAAAGTATCAAAGAAAGAAGTAGTAGAGGTAGAGGAACCAAAAAACCAGAAGTATTAGAACCAGACTATATAACATTACACGAAATGCGCGGATGTTTGATTGGGCAATAATAGAAACCTCAAATTTTCTACTAATTTGCATACTTTTTTTGTAATTTTTTTGTTGAAACTTTCGTGAAATGGGTCTTTGAGCTAAGAAAAACCTGAAACATAGCATTTACCTTAAGATCAAATCCTCTTATAGTTGAATAAAAGGTACAATTTCGCTCTTTCTGCTTGAATTTTGTGAAATAGTTTTACTCAACTCTACTCAAGACCCTATGGCATGGCCATTAAAAAATTATGCTGAACAATTGATCCCGTTAGTTAAGTACCACATTTATCAGTGAATCTCATTGAATCATTTTTATTTTCAATAGAACCTATAGGTGCTCATTACGAAGGTGCACGCTTAGTATCAGTGGCAAGCATCCGATCTAACGTGCATTCATCAAAAATGAGTTTGTTATCTTATTATCTCAGTCGTTAAATTTTTTTTTGATATATGAACTTTATGATGTTTTATTCATCAAAGTAGGTCCACGTGTACTTATCTGCTTCAGCTGTCCATATCTCGGCTCCCTTCTTCTCCGTTGCGTTAGCCACTAATTCTAAGAATTCCAATATAAAAATGTTTGTTGGTGTTGTCGTTTTTCATTCAATTTTTGTTATGGTTAAAATGGCTTAGAACTATCCATTAAGTTTTAATCTGTATTAATGCTCTAAGTAAAAACTAGATATCTAACTATTCATTGACTAATGCAACTATTTATCAATGTAAACTAATAGTCAAATTGAATGAATGAATCTTCTTACACAACTGATCTTTTAGTTCCATGTCATCTTATGCTAAGAATTCACCCTTGCAGGGCTCCACATTTGGATTTTGATTCAAATTTTGATCCAAGGATCAGGTCATCTTAGCTAGAGGATAATTTATTGTTTTTGTGAACTTGATTTAGTCAAAATGTCTGAATTCTCCATAAAACATTTACCTCCCTTTTCCGAGCATGGCTTCCGATATCTCAAGAAAACTTTTTTACA